TGTAATATAACAACAAAAAATAATATTATTATTTATTAACAATATTTTTTACAACAAAAATAATATTTTTGCTTATTTATTAACAATATTTTTTACAACAAAAATAATATTATTGCTAATTTACAAATACAGCAGCAGCAACAACAAACAATTGCAACTTACCATCAATTTTTCTACATTCAAGAAAATCTTTCTAAATGTAAGAAAAAATTCACCTTCAATTTGAGGAAAATTTTTCCCATATTTAGGACAAATCTCCTTATAAACAAGAAAATGTTTCTTCTTTTAAGAAAAATCGCCCTAGATTTAGGAAAGATTCTTTCCTCAAATTTAGGGCAAATTTTCTCAAATCTAGAGCGACTCGCCTTTGGAACCGTTTCTATGGCGAATTTCTAAATACAAGGGCGAAAAGCGGCTTTTTAAGGGCGATTTTAGGCAAATATTTTTATGAGTGTATTTTTACTTGCTCATTTTTGTTCAGTTTATTACTCTAGCTAATTTTTTTCATTTGCTCAATTTATTCTTTCTTGCTCATTTGTATTGTTGCTAAATTTAAGTCATTTTTGTTCTATTCATTAAACAGACTTTTTATTATACCCTTGCAGGGTTTTATAATTTCAATTAAAAGCTTGCAACGCAATGAAGAATACATGTCCGACCCAAAGAGTATATGTATTTATTCTTGATCAGCATCAATAGCCGAGTCGATCTAGCCATGTCCGTCTGCCCGGTTCTTCGCAAACTAGTCCCTTAGTTTTGAAGCTATGTGATTTAAACTTTGCATATAGTCTTTTTACTGACTGCTTTATAAGTCGGAACAGGCCAGATCGGATGGATATAGCTGCCATAGAAATGATCGAAAAATTTGTAGAAAAAAAACTTCACTGTTTTTGAACTTATTTTCATCTTCTTTGCGATAGGGCCATATTTTATGATTTCAGAACTCTGATTTTAATTTTAGAAAAAATGGACAACAATTTCATATAGTGTCATAGGAACAATCGGTAGATGTAGGGCAAAAATGTAAAGCTGTAACTATAATATGTATAGGTTAATGTGGTGAAAGTTTTTATTACTTTGTATTTGTTCAGCAGATAGTTTTAAAATGTATATTAAATTAGTTATTTGAAATAAAAAAAGTCTGTTACTTTTTACAATTCAAAAATAATGTTTTTGTTTTGTTGTTGTTGTGTTTTCTCTTAGAGTGAACCATTTGGGAATTTAAGAAACCAGCAGGTCAGTTCTGTTAAGGGGGTCTTCTCATTCAAAAGCCGTTTTTTGGACCCTTTTAAAAAAAATTCTTATTTGAAAACGCAAAGAATAATTGAAAACTTTTTTTATTTATTGTATTCAAAAATGTTCAAAGTAACTAAAAAAGTTGTTCTTGCCTTGATACGAGGGTTGTTTAAAGAGTAATGAGACTTCAAACTTGGTGGTCGAAAAAAAAGGTGTCGTCCTGGCGGCCACGATTCAGGGTCTCCAGAGCGTCCGAAATGAAAAATAAAAACGGGGTTATAATCAGAATAGATGTCATTTTCGGCTGACGGAACAGATTTTTTTTTAAAATTTTTAAAACAAAATGGCGGCCATTCAAAAAAAAAATTCGATTTCGGGCGTTTTTTTTGTAGTTTAGTGTAAAAAAAAAATAGAAAAAAAAATTTAAAAAAAATCTGTTCCGTCAGCCGAAAATGGTGACAATTCTGCGTCGATTCCACTTTGTTTCATGAAAATCGGTTCAGTTGAACTGGAGATATCATGGCCGCCAGTTCGAAAAACGTGGTTTCGAGATAAACGCGTTTGAAGTTTGAAAAAAGCTCATTTTGCATAGACCTTGCTTCACAAAAAAGGCTGTATCTTCTAAAGTATTTCGAATTTCAATCCTTTTGGGGACATATACACACCATCCCAAGCTATAAATAAATGCAAAAAAAAAAAAAAATCGAAAAAAAAAAGTTGCCCAATGAGAAGACCCCCTTAATGAACACTGAACATGAGAGCAACTGAGAAATGAACAGTGAATAATTTCGCAACCAAGCAATGAAGAATGAACAAGTTATTAATATGAGAGAGTTGACTATTTAAATTTTAAAAGAAAGAAATAGTGAACATGTTCATCTAAGGAATTAGTATTTACTTTAAATAATCTTAACCATTCCTTTAATTAATGTTGAAGTTTCAGTTTTAGGTAAATACAAAAAATATTATAATTTGTAATATGCAAAAAACAATTGCCAAATCCCTTTAATTAAAAAAATATATAATGCATAGGGTTCTCTCTAATTACCTTTAATGAGAAATCGCTTAGCTTACCTGGTCATTAGTTGGCCTAATATCGTTCCAGTGAATGGGTTACATCAGGGCCCCGACAATCGCAATAGCAAACCAAACAGATAATAAATCATAAGCATTAAGTGTTTTCAATTACCCAATTTACCAATCGCGAATCGCAAAGCTGGGCACGTTCCCGCCGCAGCGGCAGCGCACTTTTATAGCAACAACTAATACTTAAATGCTATTTATCAGCTGCGATGCGGCGGCAGCGGCGGCCTTGCGGGGAGTGGTTGGGCTGGGCTGATGTGGGAGGGGGCGGCGGTGCGGCACATGCCAAACGGGTGGCCGGATGGAGCGAGACAAGGCGACTTGGCTCTGGCAAGCTTTCGAAGCAAAGCAAAGCTGATAAGTCTGTTTTTGCAAACGACAGCGAAAAGTCAAACGGCGTCTGCTCAGCCAGCTCCTTTCCCCCTGCTACCCTCTCCCACCCCATCATCTCGCACCCCATTTTTCGCCCGTCGCCTTCCACCGCAACCCCCCCACACCGTCAAGCTGGCGGGGGTGCGCAGTAAAGTGCGACATTTTGCTGCTGATTAAGTAGCGTTCGTTTTTAATAAAAGTACGACAAGCAAATAAAACAACAAGTTGTTTGGCCAGAGATGGGTGTGTGACACGCGTGAGTGGTAAAGATTATTAAAACAAGAGGGATTTTATGGAAAAACTAACTAGGTTTTGAGATTATTTTATAGTAATTCTGGAATAAACAAGGAAGGCAGTCCTTGGTTTTGAACAAAATCTACTATCAAAAAGTTAAAAGAATTTTTGAATTTTAAGGCCAATATATCGGATGTTTACCAGTTCAAAATTGAACATTTTCCAGCTGTGTACATTTAAAACTATAAACATATAAGATTTCTTTAATGAAATGATTCTTTAAAGGTTTAAAAGCCTCTTTAAAAGGATTAAACCCGTTAAAGATACATTTAAAATCGTATACGCTAACTCGCATCTCTAAGCTAAAAACACGACTATCGTTAACTGGTCTACGGCATGCACGACCATAAAAATAAAACTCCTAGCTACCGAAAGCTGCCGCTCAGGCTGAAGCTTCCTTCGCTTCGTTTTCGTCCTTGTGCACGTCCTCGTGGCTTGGCTTCGGCGGCAATCGCCCTTGCAGAAGGTTATGCCACCCGTTCGTATGGAAAATGAATGGATGAATGAATGGGTGGGATGATTGTTGGGTGGCCCACTGGCACGTGCCCTGCTATGTGGAAGCGACTGTGGCAAGGCTCTGCGGCTTTGTGAGGGGAAGACAAGCTGCCACACGGAAAGAAAATTGGATTTTATAGTCACTGTTTCACTAAGGGATATAGGTTCATATAATAAAGGGAATTAAAACTAATAGGTAATAGGAAAACCATTGTATGTTGGTAACAAGAATTCTCATAAGCTGAAAAATAAATAAATAATATTATATATTTTTCAGTTTTTCTAAACCTTATTTGTGGAAAATATTTAAGGCGACATTTTGACTTCTCCTGTCTAAGAATTTTAAGTATTTTCAAAATTTTGATACCCCATTTGCAGTTTTGTCGTAACATATTCTTACAATATTTATTTTTATGAGAAATTTATTTAATTTGATATCATTAACAATATGTACATCCTCTGTAAAAAATTGGTATTGGAAAAATATTAAAATATTGAGTTGATCTGTTGATTGATTCTATTCACAAATTATCACGTGAATAATCCACGTAGTAACGAAGAACACCTTAAGGGTGAGGAAGACGACTATTATGTAAACAAGCCGTGTTGAAATCAGTTTATGATAATAAAAAGCTATGTGTATTATATAATATACCTATGAGAAGATATTGCTTTAGGGAAAAGTTGTGTGTTTCTTCCTATACAAGTCGTAATCGTTACTATGTAAGTTTTGTTAATAAGGACTCATTTTTAAGGAGTTTGAAAAATTTGAAACTAATTATTAAATATTTTATTGTTATTTATTTAGGAGTAATATAACCAGTATTTGCCAAGAAAATATTTATCAATCGATTTTCGAGTTTAAGGTGCAATCGTTACTTTTATCTTACCTTGTTAAGAGATGTTTTTTGTATAATTGAAACTCTTAATTTTATGCTAAGTTTATGCTCAAAATTAACTGAATTTAAAATGTCATAGAACCAGAATGCAATATTTATAAAGGAAAACATTTCTAAGTAAAGAATCAGATTTAAAAAAAAAAACTACCTTGTCACTTTATCTCACAAACTCGCTAAACCCACTTACCTTTCCCTCTGTAACCTTCATTTTATGAAATATTTCTTTAAAATTTGTTACACCAAAGTAGTTTTCAGTGCAGGCATCATCAGGAGCGGCGACAAAGGCTCTGGTTTTAGCGTGCCGCCATATGTTTCCGGCAAGTGCTCGCCCACCGCCTCCCACTCACTCTGTGATACTTGTGGCACGGGCCATGAAAAGCGTTGAAATCCGCAATGCCAACAAGTACAACTCTGGGGCCAAAGCGGGGTTGCAAGACAATCGGTGATTTGTGGGTAGCGGAGCAGAAGAGTGGAAGGAAGAATGGGTCTGAGGATGGTAACTCGAGCCGACTTCCTTCGGGATGGGTTGTGGGGCGACACCTTCTGTCGACGCCGACGACGCGTTCTGATTTATCCCACACAGGGCCATAAAAATAAAAAGCCACAAGACACTCGCATTCGTTATACAGGGTGTTGTTCCTTTCCATTTTCATGTGTTTATTGTTTGTCGAAAATCAGCTAATTTAACTTAGTGTGTGTGTGTGTTTTGGATTACATTTCGAGGGTTGTGTTTGTTGTTGTCTAACAATATTACATATACAAGACGTGCATACAATCAGATTTCTAAACATATAATATTCTTTAGCTTTATATTTAAGTATTCAATAGGTTTTTAGTTTTAGTTAAGGTTTCCGGAACAGTACAATATCTCGAGCGATCTTTACAACTAGAAATATATATATATATTATATATCGATAATAGGAATAAATAAGTATACAACAATCAGGAGAGTCGAGCCGAAAAATAATGGGGTATAGCTGGGTCTGAGTCCTGGGTTCTTCAATTTGTTAGATTGCCTGGAAATTATGTTAATTTGTCGCGTGATCACAGGGGATGCCACGACTTCAGGGGGTTGCAATCGGAAATAGACATGGACACGGGGTGGATTTACCTCCATTCCAAAGGCCCAGCTACTATGCCCCTCTAGAAACTCATACAATTTAGTGGTTTTACACGTTCTCCCCCTTATATAAAAATCTTTACACTCTTTGCTTAAAAAATATGTACAGATGCGGTATAAGTATAAATAACAAAAACAAAAAGTATATATATATAGATATCGGCTAAGAGCAAGAAGGAGACAAAGTGTAGATGTGTACGAAGAACCTAAAGCCTTGTGTACGAATATCGTAAATATATATAGGAGAGAGGAGGAGTATATCATCAATAATATGTCCATATGTGCCGTATTATATAGTATTTCTTTTGGTCGAAGCTCTAAAAAATTCAAATGTATCTTCATTTGTGTGTGCTGGGTGCTGGTTTTTCTCAGTTTTTTTTGTTTTTTTAGTTTTCTGTTATCTGCTTCTGTTTTTTGCTGCCCTTCTCAATGGGGCTTCGATTTGAAATTTATGTACAAAGTTCGTGCTGCAATTAAACGTAACTCGCTTAAACAACTAATACGAAAAAAGTATCTACAAGATATATATGTATTTGTATAAATATACGCATGTGTGCTGCCAGTTGCTGTGTGTGTGTGTGTTATTATTCAGTTTTTGTTTTTGTTTGCTTTATTTTATTTCATTTTTCGCCTTGCCGAGTATTGTTTTGTATCTTTATGCTTGACACGCTCGCTCAAAACGGCGCAAAATCGTTAAAATTTTATCGCCAGCCGAGAAACGTGCAACTGTGTGTGTGAGTGTGTATCGAGTGTATCTTTGCCGTGTGGGTTGCCACAACACACAGTTCCAATCCTATCCTAACCAACCGAGAGAGTACCGCGACGCCACCACCGAATTTTCACACCTCTTCTTCTTCGTCAGGGGGTTTTTCCGGAGCGTTGTAAGTAATCAAATATTCCTGATGCGATTTCGCTTTTCCTATCAGTTTGTTGTTTTGGTTTTTAAAAGTGGTTTCTACTATCGCTCGCGCTTGACTTGAAAATAATTTTTGCTACGTTTTGGTTTTCTTTTTTTGTATTTCTACTTGGACTTTCCCCAAAAACACAAAGATCTCTGTGTCTATCAAAAAAGGCATTTGTGTGTTTGTGTGCGACCTTATCGCGGTTTTAGCACACACATTTTTCTGTTGATATATTTTTTATAATTAATTTGTTGTTGCTGCTTTTGACGCGACTGCTTTTGATTATTAATTCCGCCGCCCCGCCGCGCGTCTCTCTCTCGATTATTTTTTTATTTATTTCATGAATTTTGTTTGGCTGGCACTTTTTAACGTTGCTCGGTTTATTTATTTATTTATTTAGACGCGTACTAATTCGATTGCAAATATTTGCACATGCAAAAATGTTGTTCTTCTTGTTGTTTGTTGTTGTTGATGTTGTTGTTGTTGTTTCCCTAGAGCTTTTGTATACTTGTATTGTAGATATTGCTTGTCTATATGAGGCTATTTCGGGTTAGTTCTAAGGCTTATTTTCTTGTTTACTGATTACTTAAATTGCACTTTTTCTTCGGGAGCGAGGTTGGAAAACTTCTTGCTTGCTGCTGCTTCTACTATTGCTACTCGTCTACAGGTGCGCTGCACCGCATCACCTCAGTTGCCGTTGTTGTTGTCCGTGTTTTGTAGATTCTCCAGCGGCGCCACAAGATACATTTGCGTTCCGCACAGCCAAAGAAACGCTGCAAAAGATACACGGAAAGAAGTTCATATTATGGGATGGTCTTAGGGGATTTATCTAAATAATTTTATTACGACTTTTTAAAAGGAATGTATAGACTAGATATGTAAATGAAAAAATGTACTTAAGGAATGAATAATCTACTAACTAATATTCTCACAGAATACAGAAACAACTTATAAAAAAAGCAGAATTAAATACACAGTTAGAAAAAGTCGCGTAAGTTTGCCATACTAAAATATAAAGTTTGAAGTGCAAAGTAAATTCTCTAAGAAAACTCATTTCAGCAAATGAAGAGTCAAAAAATTAATTTTCTTCAAAAATAAATTTAATTTAGCAGAATGAACGCTCTCCAAAAATGAATATTCTTCGAAAATGAATACTCAGAAAATAATGTTCTTTGAAATGAGTTCACTCCGAAAATGAACACTCTAAAAAGGAACCCTTAGCAAGTTTATTCTCTCGGTTGTTAGCGAAACACTCTGGTTATTGCTCAGTCGAAGTTGGTCTAGTCCAGAGTTGAATTTGAAGTCAGAGTTAGCCTTTAACGGACATTGTCCAAGTTGTACTCGTATTATTACCTATGAAAACTAGGATATCAAATATAAAAGCTCCAATTATGTTTTAAGCCAAAAATTAAGAAATAAAAAATCTTCCAAAAATGTGTCCTAACTTTAAATTTAAACTTATTAAACAAAACAACTATAATATAAATTAAAATTTAAGGTAAAACCCCTATTTTTTCGCTGTGCACAAGAATGAATGAAAATGTTATTCCGCGCCTTTCTATGGGTGAAAATACAAAATGATGTAATGACTCTCTACTCGGCCCGATGTTCATTAAAAGGCCAACCAAAACAGAAAAAAGCCACGAAACGGACGGAACAAAATATAAAAAAAAAGAAGAGAAACAGAAAACACAGCGAAAAATTCAAAAGCAAGTGTAGAATGTTGTTGTTGCTGCTGCTGCCTATAACGGCGAAAATAAAGGCAAAGCGTCGTATGAATGACCGGCCACGACCGCTGCCGAGTCAAGTGACGAACGCCGAGCGCCAAGCGTCGAGTGACGAACGCCGAACCGACGAAGAGCAACAGAGAGGGATATAGCGGGAGAGAGCGAGAGCGGGCAAGTGAGTACGTTGAGGAAGATACATTATTTCTGGTATAATGACTACTTGAGAAAAGCCAAAAAGTCGGGGGAAAATGTGTAAGGGAAATAACAACAAAAACAGAAAGAAGAAAAACAGAAAAAAAACGGGGCAAGAAAACGCAAAACACGAAATGTAATTTGTATAATTTGAGTCTCAATCCCATCAAGTGTGGGAAATGCGCTAAAAAGAAAAATTATACGTATAAACAACTCATAAGGGAAGTGGGTAAAAGAACTGGCAATGTAAAAAAAAAGAACTGAGCCAAGTTTAATAGTTAGAAGAGGTCACTGAAGTTGGCTATAAAAAAACTATAAACTTTGCTCCAAATTTGGCTTGAACTCTTTGGGCAAATGAACTCTGGTAAATGAACTGTATTAGAAAATGAACTCCCCCAGCAGGTTGTTCGTCCACCATTAAATGAACTCTAATGAAGAACACTAAGAAACTTTCGAATATTATCTAAATTGGCTTAGATATGTAAATTATAGTAGATTAATTAATTCTTTTGGTAAATAATTAGAACATGAATTGTCTCAGCAAATTGACTCTTTTAGAAAATGAATAAACTCAACATTAGAGGGAAACTCTGTCGTCAAATGAACTCTACTGAAAATCACTGAGACACTCTCGAATATACTATTTTAAGAATTAGTATTAGAGGTAGAAGCAGATTCGTTATAATAAACAAGAAAGTTTGATTTTTAAGTGAAATGAATTCACTCTGGTGTTCACTTTGGGGTTAAGTGAACCCCAAATTGAATTCAGTTTATTCAGCAAATGTATTCTTTGCAGCTAGGTGAGTCTCTTAGAAAATGAACTCGTTCCAGCAAATGAAATCTCAGGGTGAGCGCTCTAGATAAATTTTAATTATATTATTTTTAGTAGTATAGATAAATGAAAAATGCGATAATCTTAAGTGATGAATTTACTATTTTCTTAAATATTAAAAATACCAATTTTACAAAAATTTAAAATAATAAGCATTACCAAAACGTTTTACAAAAATACTACTGTTAACCCTAAATAAAAACTATAAAATTATAGTGACACTCACCTTGTGACTAAGCGGAACTTGCCACCGGAGCCAAAGTGTCGGTGGCGGCGATTTGTACGGGCGGCTTGGACAGTGATTCCGGCAGCAGGGTGCTGGCCGCCGACACTGTAATGGCTGTCTCCTTCGGTTCCTTGGCAGCGGCTGGTGGTGGTGCTGTCGCTGCCGTTGTGGTCTTGGCCAGCTCCGGCGACTTCGCTGCATCGTGGCAGCTGGGAACGGGTGGCGCCTCCTCCGCCAGAGCAGCAGCTTTGGCCTCGGCCCGAATATTTAAATTGGCAGCCACTTGATCGATGGTTGTTGGCTTCTTGGTCAAAGCCCGTGGCGAGGTGGCTGCACTGCCTCCACCAGAGGTGCTGCTACTGCTGCTGGTGGGACTGAGCAATCCCGTGTTCCCTGTTGACATTTTGGGCCTCGTTTCCTCGGCACGCACAGTCAGGGGTTTGCTGATGGTCGCAGAGGTTGTGGCTGCTGATGGTGTGGCCACCACCGGCTGATTGCGAAAGGCCAGAGCCGAGGGATTGGGTATGCTCCTAACGGAGGCATTCTGTGGCCTCACCACTGCATTGGCATTCTTGGGTTTGCCCTCAAAGATGCTGTTGTTGTTGTTGTTATTGCTGCTACTATTGTTGTTGTTGTTGCCTGCCTTGGCAATCGAGATCTTCTCGCGGGCTGTCGCCGATTCCGAGAGCATATGCAGATTCTGAAGATCGTCGCCAGTTCCATTGCTGCTGCTGCTGCCCGAGGAGGAGGAGGTGGAGGTGGTGGTGGGTGCTCCTCCTCCTCCTGATACTGCTCCTCCACCATTGCTGTTGGCGGATATGTTCTGCTTGATCTTGTTGAGGGCAGCCTCCAGGCTGTTGCTACTATTGACCGCCGCCGCCTCGGGCCTGGGCGATGTGGGCGCCTTGCTGCTGGAGCTGCTTAAGCTGCTGCTATTCCTGCCCGGGTTCGCTGATAAATCAAGTATGTCGGCATCCTTGGGTGCTCCCGTCGCTGGCCGAAACTCACGCAAACTCGTTTTCGAGCTCTTGTCCAAGCCATTGGCTTTGGCCGGAGCCACGGCTGGCGGGGATTTCTTTGAATTGGCCAGGTCTGGCTTGCTGCTGCTCGACTTTGATGGAAACGACGATGGAGCGGTGTTGCGCAGATTTATTAATGCAGGCGGCGATGTGCGATAAGCCGCATTGTTGCTGTTCTTGCCGGGATTCAAGGTGGAGTGGGAGTTACTGCTCCTCTGCCCGCTAAGTGCAACTGACAGCGGCGGCGACTTGACAATCGTCGGTATCGTGGTCATTGGCAATGGCAGCGGCATTGGCGGCGACTGGCTGCTCCTCTTGGCCGCTCCGCTGTTGTGACCCTGATGCTTGGGCAGAGCTGTTGGTGGTCCCATCAGCGGTGGCATCGTCGTCATCTTCTGGCCCTGCTGATGCTGCTGCTTGCTCGATGGCAATCGAACTATTTCCAATGCGGGCACATGGCTCATGTTGTTGGCCTCGGAAAAGGCATAGGCCCCAGTCGCCGGTGTTGTCCTTGGTCGGGCCGTAATAGTCACCGAGTTGCCGCTACTCATCGTCGTGCTGGGCAGGCTGAGACTTAGGCTGGCGGGACATAGGAGCGGCATCGCCGCTGGCTTGCCAACCATCTCGGGTCCGTACAATCGCTGGGGATTGGGCAGATACGAGGCCGCCGCCGTCTTGCCGCACCCCGGCTGCATCTGGAATTTGGCCGCATAGCTGGACATGGCCATGGCCTGCGCCTGGTTGTGATTCAGGCGCGCCTGCTTGGCCGGATGGGACTCGTCCAGGGAGAGCGACCGCTTCGGCTGCTTGTTGGCCGCACTGGCAATGGAGCTCGGCGTGGATAGGTAGCGCTGCATGTGATGCATATTCCGGTTGTTGCTGGGAGCCTGTGGCACCACAAAGTGTCCGCTTCCCGGCTTCCGGTTGTTGTTATTACTAAGCGGCGGCTTGGCTAGGCTCTTATTGGCCATCGACTGGGGCTGGACAGGTTGAAGTTGCTGCTGCTGAGGCGTTGGCTTTGGCTTCATCTGAGCCACTGAAGAAGTGGCAGGAGCAGGAGAACCTGCCGCCGCTGTCGTTGTAGGCGTGGGCGTAAAAGCCTTGAACAAGCTGGGCGGCAAGGGCGGCGAAGTGGGCAGAGCCACTTCCTTGGGCCTCATTGCCTGCACCTCCGGCTCTGCTGTGGGCGTGGGCGGCGGTGTGGGTGCTCCGCCCGTTACCAAGCTACTAATGCTGCGCGCCTCCTCGCCCAGAGTGCGATTAAGGAGCACCTCCGATGTGGTGGTGGCGGCCAGCATCTTCTCGTCCAGCTTCAACTGCTGCAGCGCCAACTCACTGGCACTGGCCAGGGAATGGGAACGCTTCAGGTCCACCTTGTGCTTGGTGGTGATCTTCACCTTCATTTTGCCATCTGTCTGCGAGGAGATCTCCGCATGCAGCTTCTTGCGCTTACCATTCGCATCCTTTGGCTCCTTGGAGTGCTTCTTCTTACGCTTGCGATGCGAACTCGAGGAGCCCGTGGAGGTACTGGCATCCGCAGTGCCCAGACTGCAGCTGGAGCCGTTCGTGGAGCTGGAGCAGGAAGACATGGGCGAGGCATTGGGACTGTATTTGCTATCGGGAACCTGAACCGACGAGGGCTGTTCGATGGGCTTCAGGCCTATGTTCTTGGCATATGTCTCCAGATCCAGCTGTTGACTGGCTGCCGAGGAGGAGGAGGTATCCTCTAGCCGGGGACCCGCCGACATGGGCATGCTCAGCTTACTCCTCATACTGGTCAGCTCAATCTTGAGCTTGGGCAAGTGACCACCGGCAGCGCCCTTACGGTTGGCCGTCTTCAGCTCGAAATCCTCGGCATCTACGTAGGATTTGCCCAGCTGCGAGGGCGGAATGCTAACCACTATATTTGTGTTGGCTTCCAGTGGCTGCTCTCTGGTCTGGTTATGATGATCCTGCTCCTGTCCCGGCTCACTCTTCACCTTGGAGACGGCATAGTCGCTGTAACGCATATCATTGCTCCGCAGGCTCTTGAAGCTGCTCACTGCCGCCGGTTCTAGCTCCAGTTCCCGCTTGGTCATCGACGTCGTTGTTGAAGTAACAGCCAAGCGCTTGTTCTTCGCCTGCGGCGATACCTTTGGCGAGGTCTTGCTCCTTGGTCCGGTCTTGGAGCGCGGTGATTCCATTTCCGACTCCAGGTCCTCGGCAAAGGTCACCGATTTGGCCGACTTGGAGCGACTCCGTGGTACTGGGTGCTCCGGTTCAATGTCCTGGTTAATCCTAGACAGATTATTCTCATCGTTTTTTGTCCGCTCGCTCTCGTGGAGCAGAATCCGGTAGCAGAAGGCCATCGGCGATTGCTAAATGGGTTTCCAGAGAGAGGGGAGAGATGCGGAATAGAAAAAGAGGGCAGGTTGATGACAAGGGTGGAAAGTGGAAGCTAAACTGCCGGCACAATTGGATTGGGTTTTCCCCCGCACCCCTCACCACCGGCACCCAAAAACCTTTATCGGGTAATTGGGATAGACCGCAAAAAGGGACAATAGACCGCCGCACAGAGGACAAAAAGGGCGTGTATCCTAAAATATTTGCACATCCCAAGCAGGACCTACCTTAAAATTCCCAAATCAAGTCTGAATCTTGTTTCAACCCTGCTTCCCCCGGGCTATTTTTGCAAGCTGTATCGTAATAGAAACTATTAAGTGTTGTGGGTTGGCCGAGAAACGATTTAAAAGGTGCCAACCCAACTAAATAAAGCGTTAACTGTGAAGTGAAATCGAAATCTCATCGAAAAGGATGGACATTTTGGTTCATTTAACTTTTAAGTAATGTTCAATCTATGTAATCTTAGCAAAAGGTATCGATTTTGACTTTGTTTTTTTATTAGTAAATAGTAAGGGTTTTTAAAATATTTTAAAGGTTTATTTTTATATATAAATATCTTAAAAAACCAATCTGAAACCATATTCCCTCACCCCAAGCATTTAATTCGGATAAATTGTATTGTTTTCAACAACTCCCTACAAATGTCTATCTAAAAAAATTGTCCTAAAATAGCTTATTTAATGTTTTTATCTTTTTAATTGAATATTAATAGTAATTTAACTTAATGTAAAACATTCTCAAGTATCACCCTCTTTTTGCCTCTGTGCTTAAAAAAATTTGTGTTATGTAAAGGCTATCAAAAGCCAAACTCACCCGACTCCAATTATAGCAATATCCCACATCCATTAGCGTGAAATGGGAGGGCAGCACCTCGTCCTCGTAGGTGACCTCCACCTCTACCAGCTTATTCTCCGCCTCGATGTTGTACTTGGAGCACAGAAATCGCTTAAGTAGCTCCACGCGCAGCCCAGCGGGGCATTGCAGGTAAATAATGGGTGGCACCTCGCCAGGACCACACTGGTCCAACATGGCGGGATGATATTCCAGGGATAAACTGTGGGAATACAAAGAAGATTACAAAGAAAGATGAGGGGTTAGTCAAGCAGTTATAACCCGGTTTTTGTTCTATTTTTCTAACTATTGATGATGAGTCATTCCAACTTACCTTATAAGCTCTGTGGCGGTGAAGAACTCCTGCTCACGTGGCGGTTGATTTTCATCGACCAGATCCTCGTGCTGTTTCTCAAACTCCTCTAGCTCCTTGCACTCCCTTTGGTAAAGACCTGGCACCAGCTTAAAGATCAGCGATCGCAGAGTGTCATCCGATCTGAGATTGGTTTCACTGATCTCCTTGCCGCCGCTGGCCTTGCAATCCGGACAGTAAACCATGCGGAGCAGGTGCTTCAGTATGCAACTGCGGCAATCTACGAATCAAGGTGAGATATGGTTGGAAAATAGTTTAATAGGTGTTGCCTTAAAGCTATTATTAACAGGTAATTAAACAGGTTTATAATTCTTTAATTTTGATTGTATAATGGTAATAATACAATACAAAGTTCAATATAGCTATAAAAATGGGTTCTTTAAATAAAAACGTAGTTAAGAGTCTTTTTGTTCTTGAAAGATATTGAATTTGTTAAGGGTTGTGTAAAAAGCTCTTTATTTATAATTCAGAACCTTTTAAAAATAAGATACATAACAACCATTCATTTAAGTTGCCTTAGGAAGGCGACGAAAACCGTACTATCTCGACTTGCACTGAGAGAGAGTAAAAATCTAAAAATAGAAATCCCTTTTAAGGTTGAGAATACACACATCAAGCGAGTGCGTGTATGTGGGAACAGATCTAGAGTGTCACAGATCGAAAAAATCGAACAAATCGTATGTCGTTACTCATCTTGCTGTTATATTTGTCTTTGATATAACCCTAGCCCCCTATGTAATCCAGTGTCTAAGCTTAGAATAAGTACTTTTTCTCTCAATTATACAAATATCTTGCAAAAATATATACTTACATGTGTGATAGCAAGTATCCACTGTGGTTGGATCGATCATATAGCCCCTGCAAATGCCGCAGGTGATCAGATCGTGGAACTGCCGGATATCCCGGGAAGCTCGCATTGTTGCTGCATCCAAGGCGATTTGTTGCTCCTTCTTATCCATCATTTTGTGCGTTGTTTGCAGGTGCTTACCCCTGCTTACTCCTATATCCTTACTATAAATATTAGCCTCTCTTAGGGATCCTGGAAGAAGAGACCAAAGGAAGAAGGGTTTTAGCAATTATCGTGAATGTCATAAATGGCAGACAACCGATGACGATGGCAGATCCAACTGTGTAGGATATAGAAGATTCCCTCGACAGAGAGTGGGTATAAAGACCCTCAACATTGTGTGGGAAAACAACAACTGACGGACTGACGGACTGACTGACTGACAGTGCAGCAATCCCAGTCACATCATTGCTGTCGACATCGTTTGTGGTTGTCGCTCGTCAACGCAAAAAAAAAAGCCACAAAGCAGCAGATATATCAACGTTGTATCTGTATCTCTGGCCGAGTATCTTGTCCCAAAAGATATGGCAGCAGCAGCAACAGCAGCAGCGGCCGACGCGGTATAGAAAACTATAGACTAGTAAGGCAGCCATCCATATCCGTGAATCGGAACAATGCTGCAGGCACACACAAAAATATGAAAAAAGGCAGAACACAAAAGTGGCAAACTTTATTAAGAGGGGCTATTACGGAGCACGAAACGCCCTTCGTGCCGCAAGAGGGCACCTCTGCCGAACGAAGAGCAGCCGAGAAAAGCCGAGGAAAGCCGAGAGAAAACCCCAGAGCAAAAAGCAATGTGATGTGTACTTGAAGCTAGTTTTAGCTTAGTATCCCCCCGAGTACCCCCTTCTTTTTGGGGTTGCCTGGCAAACAAACGAATAAAACTACGAAAATTACGCTTTTGTGGAAACTGAATTTTCATCATTATGGCGATGATGCCCTGACGATGATTACGCTATGATGATGATGATGATGGTGGCAGGCAGGCTGTCGGAGCTGAAAGTTCAGGGCAAAGTTCAGGGCATTGTGGATCAGCAGCAGGTTGCTGTTGATGGAAGAGAACTTCTATTCGCAATATATTGGGTGGGTTGTGCGGCAAACTTTGAAAGGAACTTTGGGGTTTACATTTCAAAAGGTTTTTGAAATGTTAATATTTTTGAAAAATTACAAATTTTGTTTCAAATTAAAACAATTCAATTGTTTAACCCTTTAATGCAATAATCCTAACTATTTGCTCATATCTGAACTCCTTTTAGACAGTTTTTAAGATCTTTTAATATTGTAATTCTGTTTTAGTTGTTTCTTTCAATAGAGTTATAGTAAAATGAAGTAAAACTAAAACCAGTTTTGATGGAACAGTTTAAAAAATATATAGTATTTGCCAAGAGAATTAGAACATCTTTATGAAATACCATTTGAAGATTTAAATTATACCAATTCATATCATATTTACGGTCTTTTAGGGTAGCAAATCTGTATAGAATTAATATTCTAACCACAATTAGTAAATAATCGTACACCAAATAATTTAGTTTAATATACTATTATCAAAGTAAAGTTTGAATTTTGAATATTTAAAAATATTGGATTTTTGATAACATTTGAATTTTGATATTTTCCTTTCTTAAATTTGTTGTACATATTTTAAATTTAACCAAGTTCTAATTGCATATTTAAAGTGTTTACCTTCTTGATGTCCCCAAACTAAAACCCATTAATAAATCGCCCATTCTCCGCCTGCTAATCTCCCATGTCCGCCACCTTAGTGTCTAAATCACCTACCCCCCGCAGCCACCCACCGCATAGCGCAACCAAAAGTCGCATCACTTTGCCCATTTTTTGTGTCTTCCTTTGCCATTTGCTTCTTTTTGGTCGCTTGTCGCTCACGCGAAACTGGCACAAAAGAGGCGAAAAGGGGGAGAAGAGCGAAGGAGGCTGTGTTAGCAAAACAAAAAAGCAAACAAAACAAAAACAAAGTCAGCGCGGCGACTTGAACTGAAACTAAGCCACAACGAGGAGGGCGAAAATAATGGGGGGAAGGGAAAACAGGGCATCAAAACGAAAAGAAGCTGTGTGTGTGCGTGCACACGCCCACTCAGCTGGAAAATGCCACCCAGCATTTTGGTGACGTCGGAACTGATGACGTTCTTGATTTTTCTCTTCTTATTGTGCTTTCTGTTTATACGCCGCAATTTCGTAAAAGGCGCGCACTAACACACGCTCGCAAACGCCACACACAAACGAACAAGGTGTGAGAGAAATAATAACAACAACAGTTACGCCGGCACGAGCGCCCGCAGGGTGGTTCACACACACAAACCCTCCCTCTCTCTCTCTCAATCTCTTTCCACACACAAACTTACTCTCACAGCGGAGAAGAAAAAACAACGAGATACGAAAACATGGACAGGCGGTGCCGAAACGTAACGAGAAACTCGAAAACCCGAAAACTCGGCGACGAATTTCCCGCGTCCACGTCCAGAGTTTAACTGAAATCCAATTCAACGCGAAAACCGAAATCCAAATCAATTCGCCGCCGCGGCGAGCCGAGCGAACGAACGCTCACGACGACGACACAAATTTGTATCTATTCGCCGCGGCGAGAGAGGTGGGTGGAGAGGTGGCGGCGAGATGGAAGCCAACTTTCTACTTTTGCGCGCGCGCAATTTCGCCGCGGCCGCCGATTTTTGCCGCACGACGAAAATTCCAATACGGCGAGTATGAAACACGCACGCACGGCCGCACGCACACCAGCGCACTTGTCACGTGTACGTGTGTTTACAAAATTTCCACCAACACACACACACAGCACACATAAACGCGCAATAAGAGTACTTTTTATTTTTTCGACAGAGTGAAATTTTCTCGTTGATTTTCTACAGTTTTTCGTGGACTGCTCTCATACGTACTCAAAGCAATTGCGTCGCAATGGTGCTGATTTTCCTCTGTGGCATTTTCCTTTTTATACTCTTTCCATATTGATTTGCCGTTAAATTGAAATTTTCGTTTACAATTGCCGACAACACCCACACACACGCGCACTTCTTTTCAGCTTCTCTGCTGCTGCTGCTTCTTCCTTTTCCACTGCCACTTCAGCTGCTGGCTCTTATCGATTTCTCGTACTATCAAGCAGAGATTTGCGCGCCCTCTCTTTCGCACTCACACTCACACTCGTTGTGGCTCCCCCTCTCGAACGAACGACACAAAATTTCCTCCGTTACAAAGTGCACGGCGCGAAAAGTCTCCACAGACTGATTCTGATTAGACCTGCTGGCGCGGCCGCTGCCTCAGCGTCGCCGACGCCTGCGCTCTACAACAGCACGAGAGAGCGGGCAAGAGTGAGATGGCGCGATCCGAACGCTATTGCCATCTCACGCCATTGCTGCCTTCGACGCCCCCTCCAGCGTCTTGATTGGCTGCCACAGCTTCGGCTTCACTCGGCTCGCGGCCCGACCGCGCCCGAGTGTGGAAAGAGAGTGAGAGAGAGAGAGAGAGAGCGCAGAGGCAGAACTTGATTTTTGGGGTGGCTGTACGGCGTGCGGCTCACGCACATGTGTGGGTGGCGGCGGCTGCGTTCCTAATTGAATCCAACTGTCAAATGAGAGATTAACGCACCGCATCTAAGTGTATGTGTCTGTATCTGTCCGGCTGTTTTGTAAGTCTGTATGTATGCTTGCGCCTGTATTGGCCTTGGCGCTTATAATTAACGCGAAAAATGCCCGTTTTGGCCTGGCCGCCTTTTGCCTCATCTTGTTTTTCGGTCGACGCCGCTGGCGCATTTCATTTTGTTTCAAATTCGCGGCCAACCTGTTTTTGGCCATATGCAAAGTGCGTGCCGTGCCCGCCAGCTGACATCATTTGCCGTTGACTTTGCTGCAGTCACTTGATTTTCCAACGTCTTTGGAAAAAAGGGGGAAATGGTAAAGAAGAAAAAGCTCAAAACGGCGTTGCCAAATTTGCATTTCAAAGGATTTCGGTATTACACTCCGAATAAAAGTACTGTAAACGTTTGAAAATATGAATAAAACTGGATGTAATCCACGAAAGTAGAAAAATGATCATTTTCAGAACAAAAATACTACATTGAGTCAAGTTTTGTATTATAAAGTAAATAAAAATGGTAAATACAAGTGGTATAATTTTGCTTTAAATAAATAAAACATTTAAAAGTTAAGAAACAACATAAGTAAGTAGTTTACACTTTTCACTTGTTTAAACATTAAATTTTTGTAAAAAAAAGTTATGAAGTATAAGTTGATTTTTACTCTGAGTGTATCACGAGGGTCCTTGAATAATTTTCAGCATGTTGTTTCAAGCTCAATTTACGAAAAAAAAACACTTGACTTAAGGGCAGCACACTTGATCAAGTGACGAAGATAAATGATTATATGAACAGGTCGGTCACGCCCTCTTTCACACATATCTTTGAAGGACAAGATGGATGATATTCAAGGCACAAGATTCTAGTTTAAACTTTAAATTTTAAAGTCAAGCAAACATAAATATTAGTAGTAAATAAGTATTAATCTTATTAAATACGTAGGTAAATATAAACTGTTTAAATCACGATATAATTAACCAATAAAATGTAAAAGTTTTGTTAAACCCTTAGAAACCTACATACACTACTTTGCTTTACAAAAGATTACCTACACTGATAAAGATACAAGATAATGTTATAGAATAATTTAGATTTGGAGTTTTACTTAAAAAAAATTGTTTAAAATATAAAGAAGCTAAAAACAGAACAAGAATAATGTAAATTTTCCTTCTTCGAGCTATCGGAAATTCATGAAAACAAAAAATAGACTCATTATGTTTGCTTATCAAGCATGACATTATTAAGACCATGGAAATTTATAATACATTTGCGATTTAAAAAGACTTAAGGGACCTGTAAAGTTCATAACTGAAACGTCCGAAACCCTCTGCCGTTCAGTATCAATTTATTAAATACTTAGGGACAATTACAGCAATTAGAAATTTTACGGTCGATGGATATGAAAATAATCGCTTAAGGTAATTGTAAGGTTAATTACAAAAATGCATATAGTTGTTTTTCGGCTCGACAGAATGACAGTTTATTTAAAAAAATCAATTGAGGAAAACGAAAGACAGCTCAGCTATTTTTTATTGGATTGCGTTCTGATTTACAAGTTTATCTGTTCTTTACGATGTTTCTAGCTATGTATTAAATTAGGGAAAATAGTTACTAAGTAATAAGAGTATCAAAACCACTTGTAATTGCAACTTTAACTATATATTTCTATACCATTTAAACCAAACCACCAGCTTGTATTTTTATCTTATTACTTTACGTAATATTATTAATATTACGAAAGTGAAAAATAAAATTTAGTTAAAGCTTTTTCAATTTCCGGGAATTTCCAATGGGTCTTAATCATGTAGTCTCCTTCCGGAAAAGGTAACATTTTGGTCACTCGGTGATTTATAAACGCTGTGGATAGTTTATCCACCACAATGTCATGCTTAAATAGTATTTAGATAAGTTTTTGTTCCAAATTATATCGATTACTACTTACATCAAAGGGACAAGAGTGATTCATGTTAGAGTATTCCGTGAGAAAGCCATAGAAGTAACTAGCGATCGGGTTTGACTTTTGGTTTTTTAAGAATTTACAGGCATCCAATGTGAAATTGTAGAGGAAGGGCTTATACCCATTGAGTCGCTGGTACAATGCCATGTTTACCTGTATTTTAACGAGAAATATTACTACATTTTGAACAAGAATCCCTAAAACTTACCTTAATGTGGTTAAGAGGTGTTTTCAGTAGCTTTACCCTTCCGGAAACGTATTTGTAAGTCCGATTCACGGATCTTAGGCGGCAATACTCGAAATCAATGAAGTCCTTGTCGAAAGACTCACGCTTGACATTGGTGAACACAACTAAAGAATAAACCTACAAATATGTTATATTTTTTCACGTTTATATTAGAGGAACTTGGTACTTCTCTGGCCAAGTATCCAGTCACCAGAAAGACCAGCAAAAAATGTAGCTTCCCTTTCATATCGATAGGTTACCGAAAACTGATATTAATTTAGGTTTTTTTAGCTCAGCCCGACTAAAAACTCATTAGAATCGAAGTTAACCAATTAAGTAAGGCCCACCAAGTGTGATAGGTAAACAGCGATTCATCTCTATCGAAATATAGAATATCCACTAAGGAAGTTGAGCTAAAAATTTTAAATTAATATTTTTGCTGCTAATAATAATGAAATCTTTAATTGAAATTGTATTGTTTTATAAATTTTAAAACAGCTTAATATATTTTTTTGGAATACTAGGTAGCAGCGTTTCGTCTAAACTATTTTTGGGGATAAAATATATTTGTCATTAGGTTTTTTGTATGAACTCAGCTATTGTAAACATGGTTAACATGGTTACAAAGGCCTGTCGTTTACTCTTGTGGTTCATTACTATAAGTATAACATAAATAGATAATCTGTAAATCGCTAATGACATGTCAAAATAGTAAAAACGTAAATATGATAAATATTTACAAATTTTAAATCGATTAAAAACAATTTTTCAAAATTTATTTTATTCCATAACAAAATACATAGAAATGTCTGTCTGTCTTTTTGTAGAGCCTTAAATACTTGACCTGGAGTCGGAATTCAGTGGCTTGATGAAATATATAACAAATAATATACAGTATTTTGGGCAAGGACATTATTTATCAGAGAAATGTTATCAGTGAGGCGAGGGACCGAATTTTAAAGTAACAAGATTTGCAGTATTACCAGTGGCGGATCCACGGGGGGGGAAATTTCCTAATTTCCCCCCCCTTGGAACCTGAAAATGTTAATATCTGGCAGTGTTCCCAACCGATAATACTGTACAATTGGCACTATTGAGTATGAAAACACTCAACGCATGGTGACGTTTTATTTAAATCCGTTTATCTCGCCAAAAACGCCTCAACTTGACTGTTCAATAGAATTATTTTCTGTCACTAAGTTCAATTTCCCCCCCCAAGAATCGTCTCTGGATCCGCCACTGGTATTACTTAATTTAATGAGAGTTAAAGGTTGGTATTTAAGCTTCTGTATATGAAGATTATTTTTGCACATTTACACCTTGTAATGTCAACAAATACTCAGTGCCATTGAAATTACACATTCTCAGTCCGTTAAATATGGGTAAAAGGTGATTTATACGCTCTGCTCTTCTCTTTTCCATAAAAATGCCTTCCTAAACTATTTTTTTTTTGTTGCCAATTAAACAAATCGATTTTTAAGTGGGGTTGATGAGCTCAGTTTTTTTTTTTTAAACTCATTAACAGCGATGCAAGTAAATGTTGTTTAATATTTCTATCGAAATATAATATACATATCTCGTGAATTAATATCATATATCGTAGGTGACACTTTTTTAATTATTAAACTTATGTTTTATAAACTAAACTATTGTAAATTACATTGGTAAGCCCATTACGGGAAATACAAAGCCCAAATGTTCGCAATATATCCCAGCAGACAAAAACGTTCGTTTATGATATTGAAAACGAGAGTTTTGCGGGTTTCAAGCAGACAAAACGTCCGATTCTGGGATTCCGGCTCATAACCGATACTGAAGTTAATCACCTGTCTTGGGTTTTGTGCCAGAAAATGCTATAATTTTCGGAATCCGAATAAGATTGCGATTGCGGACCTTTTACGACATCATTATCGGGTATAATCCTGATAATTTGTGATACTTGTCCGCAGTTCGTACGTTTGCTCGACCGTTTTTGAGCATTTAGCGAAACTAATGCGGAAAGTCGGATTCTTTGTCCGTATTTAATATTTTTAACGGACATTTTTCGAATCCATCCGCACTAAGTTCGTTTTTTGTCTGCTGAGATGTTCCTTATTATTTTTACTACAAACATACATGAAATGTATATTTTCTCACCTTTTTAAAGCCTTTTTTACACACTCCTTGCTTGCCCTTTGCTATTTCACATTTAAATGAACTCATTTCCGGGCTCTTTAACCCCTGGAATATGATTACGAAATGTTGCCCCCGAAAACTCTGAACTTTGAACTGCACTGGCACCTACACACATACATATGTATGTACATTCCAAACACGAGCTGCCTGCGGATGAATCCTTTAGAATCCTCTGGCAAAATGAATAATTAATGTCGCAACTGTTCTGCGGTTTTGTCATGTGGTTACCAAGGACCAACACCCACACACACACACATGCAATTTGGGTGTCTGTTGTGGGCGGCAAAGATACTAATTGCATTTGCGCTTCTATTGGATGCGATGGGAGAAAAAAGGGGTTTGCTTGCACGATGATTCATTGACTTTGCGGTGGCCTACAAGGCAGGTAATTTATGCCCTGGCAATACATTTTGAGCGGATTTCAATTAACTCCAGGTGGGATTTCTATCTCGGTTGTGTATTTTAGACCTATAAGTGAACTTGTTCAGAACTTAATATTTAGGAGATCGTTTCATATTCATATTTAGTACTTCCTACGTAAAAGTATTAAGTGTTCTGCAATAATTTTGACAGGTGCACTTATTAGTCAGCTTTTGTGGCAATTACTCTCAGCCCGCCCACTCACCGCTCACCCACCCCCCATCCGCCCAGCGCTCACAATTAGACGCAAATGTATGCTCAAAGTGACATTTATAAGGAAAAAAGGGCGCATAATTTATCAAGTGCGAAAGGGAGGGAAAAAACGCTAAAAGGGAAAAACAACAAACGAAAAAAAAATACCCCGGATTTTATTAAGGGTACGAAAGATGAAAGATTTGCACTGCGAGCACAAATCTCTGAAGCGCAATGAAATATCTTTTCGTTTTCGTAATTTAACCCTCGAAAAAAATCCACACACACACAGTTTTTCTGTTCGACTCGTGTATGTGTGTGTGTGCATTCGTAATGAGCACTTGCGGGTACACGATACTGCGGGGTTATAGCTTCAGATATAGCAACGCTTATTCCGATGCCGATTTCGTTGCTGCAAAGAACGCACGCCACTTGCACTCACACACACACACACACACACGCTGGCTCGCTCTCCAACACACACCGACACACGCTCGCTTTTGCTGTTGCTTTTGGTTGCTTCGTTCCTTTTGTGGCTCTCGTTCATCGTTCCATTTTACGACGCCAGCATGCCATCTAAAGCAGTACTCAAACCCAAAGCAAAGTGCCCAGTGACCAATTCGCTGATTGGAGTCTCTTCGTAATCAGAATTTATAATTTATTAATAAACATTTTGAAAGAAAACAGTCATATTGCTATGAAATTTACATACATTTTATGTAACATCGTTAAATAAGAATTTGTGTTTGGGATATTATGAAATTTGCTTACCAAATAAGTAGGCAAAGCTTTTTGCAAACCAAATGTCTTGGATAGTGGGTGGGGTTACTAAATTGTTTTATTGCACGTAAATGTTGTAGGTACAATTTTAAGTTAAAAATTAAAACAATAAAATATTATCGAATATGATGAACACTTTCAATATTCCTTTAAATGTGACGGGAGAGTTTTGTTTAGTTCGTCACTGCTTAGTCGCTACACTTTGTCTCTCTAATTTCCAACTGGGTTCTGTGTTTTTCTCTTTTCGCCTTGCGTGACGTGTTGTGGAGAGTGACGGGGGTTGTCGACTGGGGGCGGAGGGCGGTGGCCTGGCTTTGGTATTGGCATGTTATATTTGCTGTTGACGCCAACGTCGACGTCGCTCTGCCGACGTTGTGCGCAAACATGGCGTTGCTGTTGCTTTTGCCTTAGCTTTGCCTGTTTTTGCATTTGCTGCCGACTCACACACACACACGCTCGACTGCGAATGCAGAAGAGTGGCAGTGGCAGGCAGCGACACAATATTTACTGTTGAATTGCAGGCCGGCCAACCCCCGCCTCCCGCCCCAGCCCGCACGGATATTTACATTTTGATTGGGAAACTGAAACGGCCGAGGCTCATTTTACGGCTATACACACAGACACACGGCGATACGGCGATGTGGCTATGATTGTGTGTGCGTGGGTGTAGTTTAACATTCAGCTCTTGTTTGTTGCTTTTTTCTTCTGGCTGCTTTTTTTCCGTCCTCTGTTTCTGATTTCCTTTTTCGTCCACTGTACGTGAGCGCTCGAGTGTGTGTGTCTGCTATCCGCTTTTGTCCAATTATAATTTGTTTCGATTTATCACACGATGTTTTATCGAGACAACGACAAAAACAACAACAGCAACAACAGAGAACGATACCTGAAACATGATTAATTAACAAAGCGCTAATCTCCAAACAATCGGTCAAAGCTATTTATTAAATTCGAATTGAGCTATTCCAAATATTTCTTCAAGTCGGATACATTTCGGGGCAAATGGGGATTACGTAACCTTCCATGAGTTTTTTAGGGCTGGCTTTAAAAGAAATTTAGGTAAAAAATATTAAGAAAGAATGGGTTTAGTTTTTAAAGTCAATAACAATGCATCATATTAATTTTTGATGCAATGTGGGGATTACGTAACCTACTTGTGTTTTATTTATTTAATTTTATTTTTTGAGTCATATATATATATTTTTATTTCATTTTTAGTTTCTACGAAAGCCATAAATAAATAAATATCGGTATCGCCTTACAATTTTAAAATTCTTGACGGGGTAACGATTCAAAATTATTCTGAAATTTTAACAATATCGATTTACCAAATAAAAATTGTTATGTAAAAAAAATCAAGGTTTTAAGATGAGTAATTCAATGTTAACTTAAACGTTTTATATCTAAAATTTAAATAAAATATTACATATTATTTCTATAACTTTTCTTGCAATTCAACTCTCTGTGTCAGCTTTAAGCTTAAGATATAATCTGATTCTAGTCTAGATATATCCGCTTTCTATTATTACTCTATTATATACGGCCCACAAATATTTAAAAGTGTTCAATAAATTTTTAAAATACTTACTCAAATTAAAAATATATGAAATAAACTTAAGACAATATAATAATGAGATACATAACACCCTACGATTTTATTTTCCTCGAATTTCCCGGGCTGGC